TTGCGAAGAAAGGTCCGAAATGACCGCCCCTTTTTGCCTGCTCGAAGAACGACCTTATGTTCTGCAAATCCGCTCGGAGCCTGTCTCTATTCCTTCTCTCACTCCCATCGGGCCACGCGGCTCTGTGCACAAGCACATGTCGTTCTGAGCGTTCATTGTAAGCTTTCCATCTCGAAGCAGTCGCAGCTTTGATCAAGCAGCCGTACGGTGTTCACAAGAAAAGTCTAGGTGACGGTACTCCAGATAATGAGTCTTAATCATGGCCGCTTGACCTTGCCACACTGCCAGGCATGGTTCGACTTGGGCTCGAAAGGTGGGGGCGAGCGCAACGGCCAGAAGCACTCAGAAAAGGACGGGGCCGCCCGAGTGCACATGGGAAGAGGGACGGAGTACCAGGAGCCCATTTGTCCTGAAGCCCCCCAGATGTACCGCGGTCTACATGGGATGCCCCCCAGCCAACCCACGCAGACGCATGGCGATCTAGTTGGGGACCTCCTAGGCAGCGGCTCCCAAGGGTCCCAAGAAGTAGGACGTCGGTGACCAGTGAAATCCTAAACCTCCCGGAACAAGAGGATCCTGGGCTTGTGGTACATTGTTGAATTGGTGAAGAAGGTCTCCGGAAGTCGTACCTGTAGGGCTCATTCCCTCTATAGGGCCTGACACCGGAAACGTGAGATTCTCAGAGACCCCAAATAGTCCTGAATCGGGAAAAGCATGGAGTTCGCAGCTCCGGCCTCGAATCCGCCATAGCTTATAGGAGGTCTACGGGACTCGCGTGTGGCTGGAAGTCCATCTGTAGAACCAGGGCACGAAGCCGTTGATTCCCGCTGCCGCCGGCCCCTGCAGGCCTGTTACCTGAAGGCCCTGGAGGCGAAGGAGAACCATGCGGATGCGTGGTACAACCTCGGAGTCGTCGGCGGTGGGACAGTGAAGGGCCAGGCCTACGACCAGAAGGACCGGTCTGGGGGAGGGAGGGACTGTAGGGCTCTGGGCCTGTCAGAGTTTGCGCGGCTTTCGGGAGGCCGAGGGCGTGTTTTCCGCTGCGCAGGTGTCCGCAGACGCAAACCAATGACCTTTTGGAAGGGCCTGGCACCGGAAACGTGAGACCCCCAAAGGCCCGCATGTGCAGGAGCCCTAAAAGTCCTGTAAAGCTAGACCGCTAGAAGATTCGCCCCTGTAGTAAACCAAAAGCCTAGCAAGTCTTTCAGAAGCGGAGAAAAGCATGGAGTTTGCAGCTCCGGCCTCGAATCCGCCATGGCTTATAGGAGGTCTAAGAGACTCGCGTGTGGCCGTGTTGGAAGTCCATCTGTATTACCAGGGCACGAAGCCGTTGATTCCCGGTGCCGCCGGCCCCTGCAGGCCTGTTATGAGAAGGCCCTGGAGGCGAAGGAGAACGATGCGAGTGCGTGGTACAACCTTGGGCTCGAAGGTGGTGGGACAGTGAAGGGCCAGGCCTACGACGAGAAGGACCGGTCTGGGGGAGGGAGGGACTGTAGGGCTCTGGGCCTGTCAGAGGTTTGCGCGGCTTTCGGGAGGCCGAGGGTGTGTTTTCCGCTGTGCAGGTGTCCGCAGACGCAAACCAATGACCTTTTGGAAGGGCCTGGCACCGGAAACGTGAGACCCCCAGAGGCCCCCATGTGCAGTAGCCCTAAAAGTCCTGTAAAGCTAGACCGCTAGAAGATTCGCCCCTGTAGTAAAAACCAAAAGCCTAGCAAGTCTTTCAGAAGCGGAGAAAAGCATGGAGTTTGCAGCTCCGGCCTCGAATCCGCCATAGCTTATAGGAGGTCTACGGGACTCGCGTGTGGCCGTGTTGGAAGTCCATCTGTA